TATATATATATATATATAATGATTACTTAACTTTTAAATATCAATTTATCCCCGACTTCGAAGTTTTTTGGTAAAATTTCCTTTCTTCAGGGGGTTCTGGTTTTAAATGATATTTCCAATTTTTCAATTTGTTCCGCATCTTTTTCAACCCGTTTTTTACTCCATTTTGTACACGTTTCTATTCATGAATTTAACGTAATTCTACACCCGCACGTTCATGAATTTTTGCTTTTGTTTACGCCTTCATTTTCTTCAGCTGTAGATTTTTCTTCTAGTTGTAAATTTTTTCTTCGAAATTAAATTAATTTTTTAATTTTTTTATGGTTTATATAGAAATTATTATGTTATGCTATATCTTAAATTATTAATTTGTATCATTAAGTAAATTATAATATTTTATGTTATATTTGTAATATTAATTAATATTTTATTTATTATGTTATATTATTAAAGTAACAAGGTAAATATTTGTTAATATGTTACCTTGAAAATGAGATAATAGTTTAATGGAGACATATTAACAAATATTTGTTTTTTTTACTTTAATAATATTCTTCTAATTTCATTAACTGGTCTATTATATATATATATATATATATATATATATATATATATATATATACATGGGATTTAGATGTATATATATATATATATATATATATATATATATGAAAGTGCTGTGTAGAAAGACGACTGACCTTTGCTACATTAAAGTGTTGAACATGGATTCTTCCACTGACTACGAAACTAGACGCAAGCGGGGCCTGAAAGAGCTGCGCAGTAGAGTGTCGTACTGAATACAATATTCGTTAGTATTGTCATATTAATCCACGGGATTAAACAATTCTTTCCATAATCTTGTATTCCAGTGGTTTCCTTTGGAGTGTTATTAATCCAAACTAATCGAAACTACGAGTTGATACCAACATTATAACATGATATATTTGGCAGTCATCATAAAAAAAAAACCTCAACTCATTGTTCATAAGTTTCGCTCTCAGTGGGCACTCCATTTTTTTTTAATCATTTCATCCCAAGCAAGGTGGGAATACCATTAATACGCAGGGGCTTACAGAGAGTGAAAGTGAGAGAAAAGACTGTGTATAGGGGATTGAGGAAAGGATAAAAGACGACAGACCTTGTGGTAAACCAAGCATTGTCTAGCACTTGAGCGTCGTGCCCCCCTCCTTGGAGGGGTGTACGCGCATTATTTATCATCTCTCAGTTGCGTCTCTGTCCTTAGACAGAGTGCGCTCAGGGGCTTCTCTGTCTGAGGACAGAGGGGCAACTGAAGAAAATTATACTGAAGAGGTGCCCAGCCCTGGGAAACAGCTGCCCGAGGCCGCGCCCTTCCATTGCACAAGAGGGAGAGTTCGGTGCTCGCACCGAGGCCAGCGCAACTGACGGTTGCGGGGGATGAGGGGAGTTTTTGTCCCTTCCCGGGTGTACACGCTCGGGTCCCCACATTAAATCGACCTTGTGTCACATCTTGTTCTAGGTGGGGAACGAATTAATACCGCATTGTCTAGCACTTATCGAGTTAACGTCGTAACACCACAAGCTATTGTTACAACAGGTTAGTTTCTTAAACTTTGATATTACTTTCACAACGTTTCGACCGTTGTCCTCCTTCTGTCTTCTTCAGGTTTTCGTCGTATAACCTTCAGGGAATTGCAAACGGAGCCTCTTAGTTAATCTATGACGTAGATTGTTCTCATTCTGTTGTCCATGTCTAATTATTTCTTGTCCTGTTCTTTTTTGCCGTTCAGTTATTTCTCGTCTTGTCTCCACTGCATCTCAGTAATTACTAACTGTCCTAGTATTGAATTCACAATTAGTATATCACTAAATTTGCGGACCAACACTGTAATAACCCAGGCTAGACGAAGATGGGGATATTAATCCGACTGTAAATAATGTAAATAGTGATAATTGCCCATCCCCAAAATTCAGGCAGAATTTCTTTATCAATATTTGATCATTTTTAATCATTTCACCTCAAGCAACTGTAGCAATATAGGTCAGCAAAGGTGTTGTTAAATTGAAAACAGGTGAACCTGAACTGTATGGGTATCAGTAAAAGAAGTCAACTTCAAAGTACTGAGCAAGAGGCTCAGAATGAAAGAAAGTCACGGAATGAAGATAAATTGCCTTTTTAGACGAAGATGACAAGACAAAGATAATTGTTATCCATAAAACTGACCATCCCGCGAAAAGACACCCGAAGTTCCCACTGAGGAACGTTAGCTTTCCCGGTCCACTGATGACTTAACTCTCTTCCCATTTTTTAACGCATGGCACTCGCACGTGTCTCCCAAAAACCTCACCTATGAAGTAAGTCACGCTTTCTCTTTGGTTGTTCCAACTCAGCTCAAGGTTGACTTGTGCACGACCATTGTAACAATGCTTATACTTACTTAACCTAACTTCTGAACCAAGAAAGAGAAAACAGACATCCCATAACCATGTGTAAACCTTCCGGTGATAAAGTAAGTACAAACTTTCCTTTGGTTGTTTCAACTCTGCGCAAAGCTAGCTTGAGCTCGACCATTAATATGATGCTTATACTTATCCTAATTCATGGAGCAAAACAAACAAACAAAAAAAAAAAAAACGTGGACACAGCCAAGAGGCATTGAGAACCTTGTTTTCCTACAGTCACCATACCAAAGAATAAACAGTCCATCATAGAAAACCAAGAATTTGTATGTGTGTTACATATGATGAACAATCATATGTAGCACACACATACCTAAAATACACACAAACACGTAATCCTTTAACTTTCATAAGGACAAAATATCGTCAGATTCCATCTTGGTCTGATCTGACGTAATATAATCAGACTCCTTCTTTACAATTGCCGGATCAGACGAAGTAGGAAGTTTTGATGCCATACCTGGGCTGGAGTGTCCATTACTCTTTACCTAGCCTCGACAGAGGTTCAAAGGCATTTACACGGCCTTTTCGGTGATGTGCTGTCTTCAACCCACAACCCCTTTCCTACAGACACAAATGGCTAAAAAAAAAAATCTACATATAGGTAATCACGAGAATAAAAAACAGTCAGGTGAATTGACGAGAACTACACGAGACATCGTTAGGCGCGTAATATAAACAGACTCTTTTAGCTCTGATCAGCAAGGTAAGCGGATATACGTTTTTCGAGCTCGGGTGCAATCCACAGAGATAAGTACAAAAATGACATATTGTTCTTTTGGTACACAAGCAATTGTAAGTAACTACATGTCTACTTTGTATTAACAGTACCAAATATAAATATATATACATTCAAGTGTTTTTATACAAAGACTTTTGTGTTTTATATAAACTTCTTTTATGTTTGTCTTCGCATATTCATTCACTTTGCAAATGGAGTCAATGTTACATATCCATGCACAACAACCTCTTCAAGTCTGCACTAAACCATTAACTATACTGCTTATTCTCATGGTCTACAATTGTTATGTGTCTAAAACAACCTATTTATTTGTTTGTTTAGCGGCATATCAACTCCTGGGTTGATGGGTCATTTAATCCCGAAATTTAACATTAGTAATATTTTTTCAAAAAATGTATTGCTGGTAAGTTTTTTTTCTTTTCAAAAATGTATTGCTGGTAATATTTTTTTACTGTGAATATCTATTGATGGTATTTTACTATTTTTACTATAAAATGTATTTTTCATTCTTTCATCGTGTTTTGACTCCAGTTTTGGGGTTAACTATTTGCCCATAACAGGTGCAGCCACAACAGTTCAGGGTGGACTTGGAAACCACAGCAATTAAGAAGTAGTTCCAAGGTTCTCTATACCTCCCGATCAGAGTTTTAGCTGCCGGATGTAGTTTATCGTCATGCCTATGACGATAAAGCAACCCATCTACATGAGCCACGTAGTGTGTGAAAAATAGTGGAAGACGAATTAGCGACGCCCCATTGTCACTGAAGGTTTTGCTGACACTTTGAATAAAAAGACTGAGGGGAGGCTACAGCTGATGGAAGCTGGAGAATGGATTGGTGGAAACAGTATAACGGGGGTGGGGTATGGGGTGTTAAGAGAAAAGACGTAAACAAAGATACGGATAGTAAAACTGTTGAATATTAACAAAAAAAAAAAAAACATCGCGAAACAAAATGACGTAATTTGCAGCCTCGCTCTCGTGTACGCGATGACTTTTGAGATCGACTCTTCACCTAATGTGAAATTTATAAAACCGATCAAAAATATCTTGAAAAAAAAATTCCGTTTGATTTTTGAGGAAAGAAAAACGATCATAAAATACACAGCAATAAATTTAACACTCACTGGACACGCGTCAAATGCAATAGAAGCAGAGATGTATTAAGTGACAGAGGACTCTTAAAAAGAAGGAGCTTTACTGAGAATAGCAAAACAATAAGAAGTTCGTCCTTTAGGTTTTGTAAGGATATCGCAAAAAGATTTATCGATTAATTGATTCGTTTTTTACGGCTTATCAACCCTTTGCAGGATATTTAAAGCCAAAAAATACTTTTAGATTGTAAGATTTTTTCTTTGTAGATAATAATAGTTTAGAGAAACAAGTTTTACTAATTAACCCATAGCAGGGGGAAAAGAAGTATATTCGTACCATTCCCAAGGATATTTGCTCGTAAGTGTATATAACAAACTCAACGGGAATTGCAACTCGGTTCTCCGATTAACAATTCCAAGCCATTATCCATTACACCACCCGCACATCCAAACTTTGAGCACCTGGTATTCCTAAGAGATCACCCGTCTAGGTACTGACCAAGTTCAATGTTGCTTAACTTTGGTGATCGTACGGGAAGATGATATGGCTGTAAGCCCATGGCACAGAGAGAAAGTTGTCGTATAAATAGGGGTGATAATCAGATGCATTTTATCAGTATCTCTACGTTTATTTTTTTTAAATCTCAATAAAATTAGCAATCAGGCATCGTTGTTAATTGCTAATTTCGTCATCATTTTACTATCATTTTTACTTTTTTTTTTATAGAACGTGATTCGTGGGATTATGACATGGAAGAGATTTCCTTCTCCGAGTTTAACGGGATTATCCATTATGACGACACTTGGATATAACTGGCTGCCAATACAGTAAGTCTGTTTAGATATTCATTTTAAATTTAATTCCTATAAAGTCATATTATATTTGTCTTGTATATTGACAACGCAGTGAGATCTGTCATTAAAGACTAGCCATGTAACGAGCTAAATGACGCAAGAAGTTGTCGATATTCTGAAATTGTTCTAGGACAGTTACCTACTGGACATTTGCGTCCAGGGGCAATTGCTTCCCTGGACATTTGCATCCCTAGACAAATACCAACCCGGATAATTTGGTACCTCTGATAATTTTTGAAGCTTTTAAAGGCAGTTACCATAAATCTTGAAAAAAGCATAGGTAGTAATCATAATTTTTTATAAAGGGAATAAAATAAAATAAAAAATTACTACTTTATTTTTGTTTCAAATGCAATGACAGATTAACAGTGTTGCAAGATCATTCTACACATCGCCAGTATGTTTTTGCTTCATCGGCGTTTTTCTTATGATAGTGGTAGTGTTGTATTTTTCCTCGTCTACAAATATTTTTCCACCAGTGTTTGATTTTCGGGTATAATCTATAAAATCCAGAATCTATTTGGATGTTTGTGGTACGCAATGCTGGAGTGAATTGAAACTGCTAGCTTAATTTTCTCTTGATTTAAAAAAAGAAATTTTTCTCTGTTTTTTTTTTTTTTTATTATTATTTATGGTAACTACCTTCCTGCTTGTTTAGAGTAATTAAAGGTATTGGTGTGCAAATTTCCACATTAAACAACTCTTAAAAAATGTAACTTCAAAAAATTATCAGAGGTACGCAAATATCTAGGGACGCATTTATCTAGGGAGGCAATTGTCTGCTTCACAATTATTCGGGACACAATTATCCAGTACGCAGCTGTTCGTCCACCTTCTGAAATAACCACTAAAGACAACGATTTTCCTGATGACTTAGTTCTTGTATCCAATACGCTTAAACAAGCACAGCCATATTTTACAGTAAGGTTAACTTTAATACAAGGTTCGGAGTCCACTCGAGATAGAGGGTTATGTTAATATGAGCGAATAGGAGAAGAAGATAATTTTGTGACGTACGGTGGTCATAACTCAAGACTTCAATGTTAAGATAAATCAGAGTTTAATTACAAGCGCAAATAAATACTTAACAAGAACAAAGAAGTAAATGTCATCAAAAGATAATTAATAATTTCAGTGAATACATTGTTAGTAGCGCGGCTCGTCTTAACGTCCGGTAAATCCTAAATCAAAACCCCAAATCATCGACGCACAGTAATTCACACTAATTCGACTGGATAGTTCCACTCAATAGTCACTCAGTAATCATTGCAGTCATTAGCCTGACGCCGCTATTTATACACCTGGTGGAAAACATATATTCAAAAGTCCAGAGTGTCACGCTAGAACCTCGCTGTCGGTAGTCACTCATTTTCTTCCTATATGACAATAACGGTTAACAGTAGACTTGAACAGGTGATCTCTTCTCAAATATGAATCTGTTAAGTTGGGCCCGAAATAGATGAAATTAAAACGAAATTCACGTCTTTTATTCAAACCGATCTTCAAAGGTACCAGTCTAAATCAAGTGAATGATTTTTTTAACGTCTGGCACCATGGATGAACTTCTCATGGACGACGCTATAAAAAAAAATGAATACCATCTTGAAGACATAAATTAAAAAAAAAAATCTGTAGATCAACTGTAAAAATCAGGTTCACATTAAAAGACCCAAGAAGTTGTCGATATTCTAAAATCATTATCAAATACATGACTTTTCTTGATGACCTAGCTATTGCATTCAACATGTTTAAACAATCAGAAATCCTCTGAGAGACACATTTCTGCCTTCCATCAGCATGGCTGATGCTAACCGCCAGAAGAGTGGCGTATTGCGCTTTTTCGGGCTAACATTCTCAACTGACATGAAGTGGAAGATTATATTGAAGTCAGCTACTAAGAAATTTGGTTCTCTGTGTCGTGCGAGACAATTTTTCTCTCTAGAAACTATCTTACATATCTATAAATAATATTCGTCCATGCCTTGAATATTTCTGCCATATATAACCCGGTCCTCCTGTTATATATATTTAGAGATTCTTGATAAACTCCAAAAAAGGATCAGAAATATTATTGATCTTGACCTAGTGTCACGTTTTCAGTCAATTTCCCACCGCCGTAAAGTTCCTTTTCTATGTATTTTCTATAAATTCTTGGTAATTGTTTTCGGTGAGCTCTTTGCAATGGGACCTAAAATCCATGAATTTAAGCGCAGTACTAGAATGACAACAAGGTCTTAACATTTAAATTGGCTAGATCTAAACGTAAGTTCTACGCTAACAGTTTCTTTTCTCGCACCTCTCACATGTGTAACTCTTTTCCGGGATCCATGATTTCCAGCCAACTTTGATCTACAAAAATTTAAATGCAATGTCAATCGTTATCTTTTGTCTTCTGATTACCCTTCTTTTGTTCTCGCTCCTTAGTAATGTTTCTTTTTTCTAATTCTTCTACACCCAGTAACCCTTTGTGTCTTAGTGGCTTTACTGCTTTGCTAGGGGTAAATTCGACTAAAAAAAACAAAAACTTCCCAAATAAGAATCTGTTGCATCACAGGTTGGATCCCAAATAAACGAAATTAAAACAGAATTCATGCCTTTTAAAACTAAGCAGAATAGAACATATAACATTTAAAGTTGACAATCGAAGCTTAGTGGATATTTTTCTTTATATCTAGGATTATTTTCTTTCTTTTTTTATTCATTTCACTTCAGGCAAGGGGATAATGCCGCTAAGACGCAAGCGGTTGGTGGAAGTGAAAGAGAATGAGAAGACATTAGTAAGGAGAATAAAAGAGTAAGATTCAGGAAAATAGAAGATGGCATTTGATCTATTTAAATGTTTGAAGGTTGTAGATGGCATAAAGCAAGGAACCGGAAGAGAGTTCCACAGGCGAGAAGTGCCAGTAAAGAAACTATTAGAATAGAACTTACGGTTGCATCTTGCTAATTCGACAGTAAAACGATAAGAACAATCTGTCAATCTAGTAGAACGGTCGGGATACCAAGAAGGAGACTTCATTTGAACAACTGGCATGGTAATATTTATAGAAAAGATAAAGGAAAGCCACGACACGGCAGCGAGAAATTGACTGAAGTCGAGATGCCAGGTCAGGACTGATAACATTACAGATTCTTCTTCTTTTTTTTTTTTTTAAGAATCTCGAGATATACGAGGCAAGGCTGAAAGATTTATAGTCTAACCAATATATTATCACGGAAAAATTGACAAAAAAAAAAAAATAACAAAAAAATTGACAAAAAAATCCTCATTTGATCACATGAGGATTTTTTTATCAGCATAAACCCTCTTGCCGTTTACACACTTCTTCCATTGATGTTGCAGTTTTATGATCCCATTTGTGTAAGAAGCTTTCATCATGTTGGTTAAAAAGGTCATCAACAGTAGATATGATGTTATCTTCCCTGCGATACTGGTCCCCAGCCAAGTGCTTTTTCGTATTGGGGAACAGATTATAGATGGGATTAAGTCAGGATGATAGGGACGTTATCAACCAGTTCAAAGCTACAGTCATTGAATTATCAGTATTAAAAATCGTTTCAGAATACAAGAGAACTGAAAGTTTTTTTTTTTCGATCAATGATCGTCGGGGCTGCACTGAAATTTCATGAAAAATGGTTAAGATGTACAGCTCAACAGCTGAATAATATTATCACGGAAAAAAGAGAATGAGATGAAATGCTTGCTTGTGAAAAAAAAAAATCTAAACCAGAGTTGTTCAAAACAAAATTAGATCAAAAATTCACCATAGTATTTTTCGTTTGAACATTTTTCATATGTAAAAATTCATGAAATTAAATTTTTCAAAAATTTGAGTCCACCCCTAAAATCAGAGTGAAACTTTTCCATCAAAAAATAAAAAAGAGCTCTTAGAGTCATTGAAAAAAAACTTATCAAACTTATATTTTGAGAAACTTTTGCAACGGATGCCAAAAAATTTGTAATGCAGTAATCAAAGCTGAAGGAGGCTATTTTGACGAGAGCAAAATTTAATCATAAAATGCTTTTTTCTTTTTGTCATAATAAAATTTCTAATAAAAAAACATGTCTCACTTCTTTAACCATGTATAATAATCTTCTCTTATTTAAAGAACAAAACAACTACTTTTGTGGGCTAATTTGAAAGAATACCCTTTGAAGTGTAGTGAAGATATTCTGAAAGGAAGCATTTCAATGCTTCATTCTATATGACCCGTGTGTGGATTGTGACTTGTTAATGTTTTTACGTTAAAAGTGAAAATAGAGGAGAATTATTTTTCATGATTTCATATTCTTTTATATCCTGAAAGAAAAACAAAGCTGTACAAAAAAGTTGAAAAAGATATGGTCCATTTAGGCAGAAAGTGCCATAGATGAGAATAAGGTTTGTCAAATGATTCGCTAAGTTCAAAAGTGGACATTTTGATCAGAAAGATCGAGAACATTCCAACAGGCATGCAGTCATTGATGGTGACCAAATCGAAACGCAGATAAAGAATAATGCAGGTTACACGACTCTGTAATCGTAGATATACACTCCACATATCTCATGAACATTGAAAGACATTTGAAAAGTCTTTGATTTGTCGCTACATTGTTTGGGAGTTTCACTATTTTAAATTGATGAACCACGTTTCCATTTGGGATTCTCTGTTAAAAACAATAAAAGCGTACTCTTTTTAAAAAAGACCGATTGCAGGCGACAAATATGGATTGTTTACAGCCAAGTGGAGCGGAAAAAGGTCACGAGAAAAGAAAATGAGCCACAGATAACTACTGAAAAAGCTGGTCTGCATCCGAGAAAGGTGATACATTGTATCTAGTGGGATTGGAGGGGCACTTAGTATTACGACCTCCTTACGCAAAATCAGACAATATTGTTCTTAGTCGGATCGTTTAAAGACAACAATAGATGCAAAGTGTCCGGAATTGGTCAATCGGTAAGATCTCGTCTTCCATCATAACAATGTCAGAT